GAAAGAATGACAATCAGTTTCACATTGTATTATTCAGAGGTTAATTCCTTAACTCAATGAACCTAACATTCAACTAAACCATTCTAATTCCTTAGATTTGATTCAATTCAATGTTGCTTTAGGTGTAAGAAACCAAAAGATTGCAAGATCAAAATTCCTTATCCCTAAAAAAACTAAAATCTTGGTGATTGGTTCAGATCTGAAGAACAAATTCAATTTCCATTGACAAGAGTTCCTCTGAATTTAGTTAATCAAATTTCAATTCAATTTCCACGTGAAGTTCAGAATCAATCACTCAATCTATTCCAAAGCTTGAAATTCAGATCCAAATCAATTCAACATGTTCGTTTCAGATCTATAATCCCTAACTATGAATGAATTACACAGCCATGGCAGCAGAGAAAAGAAAAGAAAGAGAAGAAGAGAAGAAGAAACTCAGAAACGCCATGGAAGCTTGCTCCACTCCAATTCCTCTTCGTGAAGCTCCAAGATTCGAATCCCCACTCCTCTCTCTCACTTCCTCTAACAAGAAGCTAACTAAAAAAACTGAAAATGAACAGAATCCCTTCTTTCCGGATCGTTTCTGGTATTTATAAAATTTTTCAGATTTTCACGTTATCACTTTTATGAGAAATAGTAGTTACGCAGAGAGTTTTTGGTTGCGCGTTAACACTTTTCCCAGAAATAGTGGCCACGCGCATTTTCTTGATATTGAGAGCTCTCTGGAACTATCACTCTTGATGATAAAAGTGACAACGCAGAGCCAAGGTAGTTGCGCGTTATCACTATTGTTGATAAAAGTGACTACGCGCAACTCGCCAAGTTGAAGACTCTCTGGAACGATCACTTTTGATGACAATAGTGGTTACGCAGAGCTTTCCTGATATTTTGCCTCTCTGGAACTATCACTTTTAATGATAAAAGTGGTAACGCCCAGGCATCACTTCTTCTTTGAGCTCTGAAGTGATCACTTTCACTGACAATTATGATCACACCCAGTTGCAATTTCTTATTCTTGTGTTTTTGGAGTCCAGACTTGCTTCTTTCCTCTTCCTTGTCATCAAACCTCCATGGATATGATCCTTGCTCAATTTATTCTTTCAAAAACAAGATTGAAAACTTAATTCCTAAGCAAAAATTTCACAATTGCTAAAATAACTACATATGTAAACAAACTTTAATTCCTTCTCTTTTTATGAGTTTTCCTGCTTTCTTTATATATTTTTCTTATCATTTGTGTTCGAATTATGCTAAAATACCAGTCAAAATATGGATTCATCAGAGTCAAGAGAAGAGGAAGAGTTTAGTCCATTTATGTATTATGTGTAGTATACTATCCTAGACTATTAACCTTCCTTATAATGTTCCATAGTTAAATAGTTTTGAGAATAATCTAGACGGTATATAATATTATATTATGTACTCTAAATATTGTGCTTGAGGATATAAATATAATAAGCATGTTGATGTGTATACATTTGAAATTGAGTAATTATTAAATGCTTTAATTTATTCCTTATTCACTACAAGAAATGGGATGACATTGAGAAATACTTATTGAAAATAAAGACGTCTTAAGAAGGGTGAAGGAGTGGAATACATGTGCAAAGTGGGTGGAGAGCCACATAAATTCCATGCCATGCAGGGATAAAATAAGGAGTGAAAGTTTCGTTGTTGCACTATACATTTTTACTTACATGAAGAAATTTTAATAATAGGCCCATGGGCTTGTTTCAACAATTGGATGTATAATTTAGAAGTTTGAAATCAAGATTTTGAACGTACCTTTTAAAATGACAATTTACTTTACTCTCATGGAACCTTTGATTGAACCCGAGGCTGCACTCTTCCCTGAAAATATATAAGAATTTTGGTCATGTGTTAACTAAGGCACACACATAATTTACCATTTAAATTTTGGGAAAGAGAAGAAAATATTACAAAGGGCCTTACGTAATGTTAAATCAACAGAAACGTAAATATGGATGGTCTTAACTATACTAAGACATAAATAAATATTAGGAAAAAATAATTTGGATAATTCAAAAGTTTAAATTTGGACACACCTATATACATACACACACACACACACAAGTTTAAATTTTTAGGGTGTTACATTCACAAATATTCATGGGTTGAGAAATTTAGAGATTTATGAATTGAATTTGATTAAGATATAAAAATATTAGGGTTTGAACTGAAATTGTGTTTCATCATTTATCCTCTTCCATATTTTGATGACTAAATACATAAAATTTATTCTATAGAAGTAGATGCACAATTTTAATGTTTTCTTATATCAATTCTTTAAATATTAAGGTTTCTAAGAGTATGCAATGAACAACAAGTCATCCTATATTCATTGAATCCTCCAACATTTTAAAGAAGAGTTTAAAAAAAATTAATATATTGAAATATGTTCTTAGTATTACAACAGAACGTGTGAGTTTCAATCAATATAGTTCTAAGACTTGCTTTCTAACTAAACCTTGGATCCTAAATCAAAATATTGCAATTTAAAATAGAATCAAACATTAAAATCAGAATGAAACCACAAACATTTATAAAAATGGATAACTATATATAAATCATCAAAATACTTCATAGTTGAAGATTACATCCAATCCCAGTGGGAGTTTAATTGCTCATGGCATCTATTAAAATAAAAGAAAAAAGAGAAAATGGTTAAGAAATGGTGTTTCAATGCTCATTCACCAAATTCCCTAGTTCTCACTTGTTGAAGTTTTGTTCTCGCTCCACTTTCTTGCTGATTCTTTTTTCTTAAAGGTGGAGGTAATGAATTCTTGTTTAAATAAGAAAGTTTTGCTCAAGTTAAAAAGACATTCTTACTTAAGCTTTGATTTTAACTTGAGCAAAAATGGGTCAAAGTCAATTCTTCCAATCTTTTTTGCCTTCCATCCTCATTAAATTCCTATAAACAAAAATTTTACAAAAAGGATCAATGAATATCTTCATCTAAATCTCTAAAGAAAAAAAATGTTTTAATTCAAACTCTTCTAAATTAAAAGGAAATTGAAGCCTAAATTAAATTCTTTAAAATTAATAAGTGTCCTAATTCATGTTGCAATTTACTAAAACTTGACATTTATCAAATGACATTATAAAATGTACTTTAACTTTGCTGACCCTTTTATTCTTAAATTTACAAGTTACTCAAAGTGAAGATGCATCACTATGACATGATGAAATCATAGCTTCGCATAGGATGTCACACCTTTATTTCTAATTAATCTATTTTAATTTAAATAATTATTTATAATAATAATATATAAATTACTCTGTCATTCGTATATTATAAAATTAGAGGTATAGATTATTCATGTATTTTTACAGAAAAATAAAAAATTAATTTAAGAATCAAATTTTGAATGAATATATTTAATTATAAATTCTCTTATGCTTTTTTTTATTTTAATTAATGCAATAATTTATAACAACAATATATAAATTACTCTATTATAAAATTATAAAGACATTAGTTTAACTACTCTGGATATCTTGTGTATATGAATTATCTTGTATTTTATTTACAAAAATGATATATTTTCTTAATTTTCTTAATATAGAAATTAGAATAAATTTTTTAATCTATAAATCATTAATGACAGTGATGGATAATTTACTTTATCATTCATATTATTTAATCATAAAATTATTATTTCATCATATTTTGTAAAAGAAAGTAAAAACTAAAAATAACAATACTTTTCCTTAAATTATTTTTATATTCTCAAAGGATTTACTCTCACTTTAATATAATTTTCAAAATTTTATTTTAAAATTTTCTTACCTTTTCAATAAAATTTTTACTTTCGATTTCATACCTTCTAAAAATAGTTTTCTTCTTAAAATTACGTAGCTTTGGTTTACTCATTACAAGAGAAGGTATATAGAAATAGGGATTAAACTGGTTGGTTCAATTATTTTAAAACCTATTTTTTTTCTATTTTTTTTTAACAAATAAGATATTAAATTTAAAATAAATGAATTTTTTTTTTCACAATTTATGATAATTGTTTTCATAGATATCATAAAATACTAATACTTTCTCATACGTAATTAAACTTTCAAACTTGAATCTCATTAAGCAAATTATTTTTTAAAAGAGGTTTTTAAAATTCTTTAAAATTTTGGTAAAAATTCTTTTAATTTTTATTGTTTCTCTTTCTATTTTCAGTTCACCATTCTAATTTTTTTTTTCTTGTTAACCTTCAACAAAAGGTTTACTATTAATTTTATTTATATGCTTAATCCTTACTCTCCTTTATGAGTTGAACTGTGGGTTATATATATTAGAGTCAAATTAATCTTACGGAATGGTGTTTAAAATATATAGATTGAAAGTAATACTAAAAATGCTCTTTATTTGATTTTCAACATTGAAGATAATTTTTATCTTCTTTTCTTATTTATCCAATCTATTAATGAAGTATTGAAATCTATTTTAATGTGTGAGATTTTTCCATATTTTTGAAGAGGTGGAGGAAAAATGAAAATAAATTAACATAGAATACCAAAACACACCTTATCTTAGACCGACCATTTCACGGTAAAATCCAATTTGCAAAAAACAATTCAAACAATTTTTATTCAATAAACTATTATTTGTAATTTGAAAAAAGTAATACTATTTTTAATTAAAATTAAAATTTTAACTAAGTAAAAAAATAAATATTTAATACTATCATAAATTATAAAAATAAGCTTTAATTTAATTTAAAAACAAGATTAAGAACATCTGAAAATTTGAACGAAAGTTTTTGCCATTGTTTTGTTTCATTGTGCAGGCGATCCCAAGCGTTTGTTTTTAAAATTGAGAACAAGTGAAAGATTGCAGGCATTTGTGTCTCTCTTGGTGTACCTGCCCCAAAGTGGACGTGGTCCATTCTCGTCCTTCACACTCACGCTCACACTCAAAGGCACAGGTCCCTCTCCATTTGATATATATTTATTTATTTATGCCTCTAAACCTCACCCTTCTTTAATGAGTTCCCATCGTCTCCTTCCACATTTGTGACATTTGAACTACAACAACAACAACCAACAAACATGCTCTCAAACCATTTGTGTCTGCTTCTTTATTTGTTCCTTCTGCCTTTCACCTTGTTACCCGGCGTGCAGTGCCAGCAGGGAAGTGACTTCGATAACCCCCTTGTTCTGCCACGTGTCACCCATCTCGTGTATGCTCAAATCTCCAACTTGACCTCTCTTCTCAATAACCAAATCAACGCTCGCTCCAGTTTTTGCGTCAAAGATCCGTTAGTCTTTTTCTCCTCACAACGTCGTCAGTTAGTAGCATAGGCATAGCCTAATATTAGCTCTTCTAGACATTGTTTTGATAGCATTAGTTGCTGAAAAATACGTACCAGGATGAACATGTCCATTAGTTAAATCTCTTTTAAAGAATAAATTAATGTTTTAAGAAAATTAAATTGATTGATTTTTTCATCTTTGAAAAATGAAAATAATGATTTTCATCTCTTAAAAAATTAATGTGACCGACAACAATTTTTTGAGAGGATAAAATGATTTTTTACTCTTATTTGGATACTCAAAAAACTAGTCATTTAAATTCTGTCTTCATTTTAAATATTATTCTTCAAATGTTTCAAAAAATTCTAATTTTAAAGAAAAAGAATTTCGTGATAATTGATTTTGAAAGTCAATGAGATGGGAAGATGCTTCTTCTTTAATATTTATTTTGACTACTTATGCTATGGTCCTTGATGAGGTTGTATGATACTTATTTCACGTCTAAATGTTAAAGAAGTTGTCAGTTAGTCCTCTGAATTAACGACGAATAAATGTATAAGTAGTGGCTTCAGATTTTTGTTTCAGATAACTACAACTTAATGAAGTGTAACACTGGTATCTAGAACTGATGCATTAAATTGGACATATAATATTGTGTAGTAACTGATTTGATTATGAGGTTTATTTTCTTATTTTAGGGATGCTGATTGGAATAAAGCATTTAATTTTTCATCTGATTTGGGCTTTGTATCTTCTTGCATTCTGAAGACTGAAGGTATGAATACCAACCATTAGAAAGAAATGAGACAGTTGGTTACTTGGTTCGTTTTATTAAAAAAGTTCATGAAAAGAAATGACACGATCCTTCTCTTTTCTCTTTCATTTTCCTTTAGTCTGTTTCCAAGAAACCAATTAAATGTATCACTGTTTGGTTAGAAAATCTGAATGTGCCCATTCTGTTGTTCTTCTTTACATTATCAAATACTTCTCTTCTTATGATTTGGATTCTGATGATGCTGATGTAAAAGCAGGAGACATTACTCAACGTTTGTGTACAGCAGCAGAAGTGAAGTTTTACTTAAGTAATTTATTGGAAAGATCTACAAGTGCCAACTATTTAAAGCCTAACAAAAACTGCAATTTAACCTCATGGGTCTCTGGTTGTGAGCCGGGATGGGCCTGTCGTGTTCACCAAAGCCAGCAAGTTGACCTTAGAAATTCACAAGAGATACCTGCCAGAACTACAAACTGTCAGTCATGTTGTGAGGGGTTCTTCTGTCCTCATGGCATCACATGCATGATACGTTAGTACAATGATAATCTTTAATGTGTTTCTTCGTTTCTGAATTGCAAATAGCTTCTGTATGATTAGATATACCAATTTTTTTTTTATTTAACTTGCTTTATAAGAAAGTTTATTGTAATGTAGTAGTGCTACACAACCAGAAATTTTTTTATGGAATTCAGTGAGAATTTACCAAGATTCAAGGGTGGTTGTTGGATAAGTCAAAGTGGTGGCACCACTTATAAATCTAAGAGTTAGCAGCAATGCCAATTGTTGTTGTGAAATTTCGGACAAAATGATTCTGGGTCTGATGTTTTCCATTGTAAAATTATAATGAGGAAATTTTTATTTTTGGATAATTTTGATGGTTTTGGAGCTAAATATGATATTATGATAGTCTATGAACCGAAAAATTCAATCATTTGCTTTTTCTGCAATGATATCTGTAGCATGCTTAAAGAATAGTGATGTTATAATTTATATGCATTAACAACACTGATTATCAGTATGTATGCTAAATGATGTTTCTAATGCTTTCATCCTTTTGTGGCATTTGAAATATTGTTCTGGAAGCTTGCCCTCTAGGTTCCTATTGCCCTCTCGCTACACTCAATAATGCAACTGGTGTATGTGAACCGTGAGTTCTAATTCTTGATCAATGGTCTGTTACTCTGTTTATGAGTAGGCCTATTACTTGTACGCTTTCTGTTGAATATTAACTGACAGTTATACATTTCCACAGATATCTTTATCAACTGCCTCCATTGCAGCCAAATCATACCTGTGGAGGAGCTAATATTTGGGCTGATGTTAGTAGCAGTAGCGAGATATTTTGTTCGGCCGGATCGTATTGCTCCACCACTATCAAAAGAATCCCTTGCAGTAGTGGGTATTATTTTATTCCAACCTGTTGTTACTCCTAATAAACTGCAAAAGTTGGATCCTGGATGAAGTAATCCAAAGTATTAAGGATATTGGATGACATGGCCTTGTATAGTTGTACTTGAACAACAAAAAATGATCACTTCAGTTTATTTATAAGTATAATGCTTATACTATTATGTTCTTTTGATGGCTATGAAAATAATTATGCTGCCTTTCTGTTTATTATTCTGAGTACTTTGAAACTTCTCTCTGGAAATTTCAGGCATTACTGCAGGATGGGTTCTACATCTGAGACAAGTAATATCTCATGGACTGTGAATTATTGTAATAACGTATCTGTGTTTCAGTCTAGATTATCTCTTCAGCTTCTGATCAAATGTTTCTGTATTACATTACATATGACCATTTACTAATTATCTTGCAGGATGCTTCAAGTTGAGTTCATGTAATTCAAGCACTGTGACCCAAAATGTGCATGCATATGGAATTATGCTCATTGTACGTTGTTACTTCTTAACTTAATGGATTATGGAATGGGAATAACTATGTTTTATATGTGCATTTATTGGATGCTAACAATGTTATGTTTCAGTGTTGTATTTTTTTTACTAGGTGCTTTTTCTAATTTGGAATTTCTTAATCAATGTGGGTCTGCTACATATGGATGGCTATGTACTGACTTTTAGAAGAATTCCTTGAAAATCAAGAATTGAACTTTTTCCAGAACTTGTATTTCTTCATTGATAACTACTCCCTGTTTTCTATTTCTCTTCCTTTAACTCTTTTTTCCCCTTAGATTCTATTTCCTTCTCTTTGTCCCTTTGCCTTCCTATATTGAATAGCAGTACCAAGTTCTGAGATCACACATCAACCATAGATATGACCAAAGTTGAGCTCTTAAAGGCTTTGGCAATCTTCTCTTGAGCTAGCTTTTGGATGTAAGTTAGATTTCGTTTTCTAATATAGTATCTATGTCTAACTAGTCTTAATGTTGGCCTATCCCCAGATGATCGGTCCTGAAAACTTAATGCACTAGATGGTATATCCTAGGTGTCAGGTGCGTGTGTGTTAAATATGTTCCACATTGGTTAGAAATATGGTTGAGATACTCCTCCTTATAAGGCTTGGGCCATCCTCGACTATTAAAAATAAAAGATCAACTTGCTCCTATGGATTTCCCACTGCAACCCATTAGGCCTACAATCTCGTGCTTCAAATGTCCATTCCTAAGCATTAAGGGGGAGTTTGAGATCTCACATTGTGATAGAGCCCAATTCCATATTGGTCCTATTGAGCCGTTGGCCCGTGAGACAAAGTCATTCCCTAAGAAATTGTTAGTGTACTCACGGAAGAAAAGAGGAGGAGCTCATGGCATGAGAGAAGGGGGTGCGGGCAGTTAAAGGAGAGAGAGTGGGATATCTTTCTGTTATTTAGGAATGATGTGAGGTTGTGGAATGGAGGCTGTTTTTCTGATATCTTGGGTAGAGGAAACTTAGTGGTTTCGCTATTAGGAGCATTGCTCTTGGCAGTACGGAGTCATCCTTCTTGCTTTTTTTCTTCTTTTGTCATTAATACAGGATCAAAGTCTATTTTCTTCTTCAATTCTCTGTTTCACTTTTATTTTTGTTGCTTGGGAACGTATTACATTGACTATAAATATGGTCAAAGTAGAGCTTATATTACTTCATGAGTTAGCTTTTGGGATTGGGTTAGATTCAAGCCTTATTCAAGAAGTATCAATAGTTTGTCAGTGAAGTAGTCATATGGATACATGCTCAGAAAAGAGTTCTGATATTTTATGCTTCCTGCCTTTCATTCCTTTCCATCATATGCATAGATGATCTTGGAATTTTGGCTAATGCTTAATTCCATGTCCCCTACAGAAATGTAGACATACAATACAAGCTCACAAATATAGACCATGTTGGTAGAAGTTAACAATTTTTAATTGCTTATGCAGGCTGCTTTGAGTACTTTGCTACTCATTATCTACAGCTGTTCTGACCAAGTTCTTGCTATCAGGGAAAGGAGAATGACTAAGTCTAGAGAAGCAGCAGCCAGAAGTGTAAGGAAGACTGCAAATGCACGCCAAAGATGGAAAGCTGCAAAAGATGCTGCTAAGAAGGGTGCAAGTGGACTGCAAGCTCAACTATCACAAACATTTTCTCGTTCAAAGGACTTGGTAGACCCTGAAGAAGTTAAAATTTTGAATCAAGCAACTACAGAGGCAGATATTGAATTGTTTTCAAATTCACATCCTATTAGCTCAACCATGGTTGCTAGTTCATCCGCAGTGCCAAAGGAGAAGGGAAAAGGACCCAGTGATCTGATTCAGATGATACATGAAACAGAAAATGATCGAGTTGTTAGTAACAACATTCATGTTGAAATAGAAAATAGCGATAAAAATGTTGCAGCACCTAAGGAAAAACAACTGCATACACATAGCCAAATTTTTAAGTATGCATATGCTCAACTTGAGATAGAGAAGGCTCAGCAGCAAGAAAACAAGAACCTTACCTTCTCAGGAGTAATTAGTATGGCTACCAAAAGTCAACAAAAAAGTAAAAGGCCTTTAATTGAAATATCTTTCAAGGATCTAACTCTCACTTTGAAAGCACACAATAAAGATATATTGAGATGTGTTACAGGTAAAATTAAACCTGGCTGCATCACTGCTGTCATGGGTCCATCAGGTGCTGGCAAGACAACATTTCTTTCAGCTATAGCTGGGAAGGCATTTGGATGCAAGGTGACTGGTTCCATTTTTATAAATGGAAAGAATGAATCAATTCACTCCTTTAAGAGAATTATTGGCTTTGTGCCACAAGATGATATAGTTCATGGAAACCTTACAGTGGAAGAAAACTTCCGGTTCAGTGCACAGTGCAGGTAAATCACATGGTTGGAAATTCCAGCTGCTGTTTTAATTTTTCTACAACTTTATGTACTTAAATTCGGCCTAGATTTATATTTAATCATTTCTCTTTTTTTGCTAATTAATCTTGGATCAAATTTTTGTTTCAGTTATACACTTTCATCGACTTGCTTTTTGACCACTTCACTTTAAAGATGAGTTGTTGGTTTAAACATAAGGACACTAAGACAGCATAAATGCACCTTTTTTTAATATCAATTCTATCCTAAATTCTTAATGATTCACTGTAGTAGAAGGGAAAATGAGGAAATTGAAGAGTGTTATGTTCAGAAGAAAAGAGGGAAGAAAATACAATCTTTATTAATTCTTTGTTGAATTGATAAATTTTCAGTGTACAATCCTATACTCCAGAGCAATGTTGCTCAGAGAATTTTCTCTACCAAGTTTAAAAACTAACTTTCAAACAAACACATAACTAACTTTCCCAGTTACTATTTATAGCTGGGGCTTGAAACAGAAAAATAACTCCTAACTAACTGCCATTATTAACTGCTTTCTTTTTCTTAGAGTACACCAGTCAAGGCTTGGCCTTGTCTGAGTTAGTATTTACAAAAATATTAGGGTTAGGACCCTAACTCCTATCATTCTCCCCTTCTAGAAGAATAGACTTGCCCTCAAGTCTGAAGTGAGGGAATTGGCTTAGCAGCACAAATTCATCTTCCCATGTGGTGTCCTTTGGAGGGCAGTGCTTCCATTAATCAGCCATTGCTTGGGAGTGCCGCTGTTAATAACTTCTCTTTGGGCTAGAGCAGCTTCAGGTTCAACTGTAGCTTCGAGTTCGACTTCAAACCCACTAGGTAGGTCAAGAGAGGTAGTGTAGTTACCAACAACCCTTTTTAACTGAAAAACATGAAATCAGATGCACACTTGTGGTCTCAAGCAGCTGCAACTTATAAGCTACCTCACCAATCCTCTACAGAATCTAGTAGGGCCCATAGAACCTAGCTGCAAGTTTAGGATTGATCCTCCTGGCCACTGTTTGCTGCCTGTGGGAACGCAGTTTTAAGAAAACAAACTCTCCAACTTCAAAGGATATTGTTCTTCTTTTTTTGTCAGCAAAATGCTTCATTAGCTGTTGGGCCTTGGGCAAGTTAAACTTTCGCTGAGATAGAGCTTCATCACGGTCTAGTAGATCACTGGCTACAGCTTGTACCTTGGTTTCTCTAGGAAGGAACTAGGTAAGTCTTGGAGGATGTCTGTCATAAACAATTTCAAACGGAGTAGCAGCTGTGGCAGTATGAAAGGACGTGTTATACCAGAATTCAGCCTAATCATAGGGACTAGTTCCTTGACTGCTCAGAAGCAAAGCACCTTAAGTATGTCTCAAGGCACCTATTTAGAACCTCTATCTGACTATCTGTTTCAGGATGATATGAGGAGCTCATTTTCAGCTTAGTCCCCTGCAATCTGAAGAGCTCTTTCCAGAAAGAGCTGATAAAGAGTGGGTCCTTATCACTCACAATTGAAGAGGGAATGCCATGCAGATGAACTATTTCTTTAGCAAAAATCTCGGCTACTGTTCTGGCTGTATAGGGATGTTTAAGCAGTATTAAATGCCTATATTTAGACAACCTGTCTACTACTACCAAAACCGCCTCATAGCCTTTAGATTTTGGTAGCCTTGTAATGAAATCCAATGAAATGTCATTCCATAGCATAGAAGGAATAGGTAAGAGCTGAAGCACAACTTCCTGGAAAAGTGGCTGCATACTTCTGCCTTTGGCAGACTGTTAGACACTGGTAATCAGGCTAGGATAAATAAGAAAACAAGGAACCTTTTATTGATTGAACCCTAGGATTCTGATTAGAGATAACCAGAAATTAGGGAAAGAGAAACAAAATACAAAGATGGCTCTTCGAGAGGCCAATACTCGCCAACAATAGTGATCTCTCCGATGCCTCCCATTGCTCTTCCTCCCATTATTTAAAAGTGCATTAACCAACAGATTTCCCTACTAATATTCCTGCTACTATCCTAACTTCCCTAATTAACTTCCTATTATTACGGTTCTCACTCCTCCTACCTTATCTCTAACTAACTAATAAATCTTCCTTATCATTATCCTTTGCATCTCGCCTATCTTTCCTCTTATACACCCTGAATATAGGTGGTCTCCTATCAATACCCCCACCCCCCTAAAAGATCCACCTTGTCCTCAAGGTGGAGGTCAGGAAACTGATCCTGAATCTGTGCTGCTGATTCCCAGCTGGTTTCATGTGCGGGTAGATCATGCCGCCTGATGAGGACTTCCAAATCGTGCTGAGCAGTTTCGCGTGTCTCCAAAACCTCTGCCGGACGTACTTGCAGCTCATACTCCTCAGGGAGCATGGGTGGAAGTGGTTGGGGTGTGCAGTCAGACTTGAGACTCTTCTTGAGGACTGAAATATGGAAAATAGGGTGAATTTGAGAGCCCTCAGGAAGATGCAGGCGAAAAGCTATTGAACTTAGCTTTTGAGTGATCTGATAAGGCCCGTAGAATCGAGGTCGCAGCTTCTCATTGGGTCGCTTGGCCAAAGATCTCAATCTATACGGCTGAATCTTCAAGTACACCAGTCCCCTTCCTTCAACTCCACATGCCTCTGCTTTTTATCACCCATAACCTTCATAGTCTCTTGAGCCTGCAGCAAATTTTGCTTCAATTTCTCGAGCTGCTCATCTCGGTCTTTAGTTAACTTATTAACCTCCTCAATCTTAGAAGATATAGTGGTGCCTTTTAACAACATAGGTGGGTCCTGCCCATAAAGCGCCTTAAAAGGCGTAGTCTTCGTTGAGGCACTATAATTTGTATTGAACCAAAACTCAGCCCACATTAGCCAATCTGGCCACCTTCGCGGGCTTGCCCCTGTCAGACGACGCAGATACACTTCTAAACACCTGTTGACTACTTCCGTTTGGCCATCGGTTTGTGGGTAGTAAGCGGTACTGAACTTCAATTGTGTCCCGGCTAAGTGAAACAGCTCCTTCCAAGACTGGCTGAGAAAGATTTTATCCCTATCCGATACTATGGATGACAGGAAACAATGCAAACAAACCACCTCTTTTAGGAAAACTGCTGCAACCTCTTTCGCTGTAAAAGGATAACAGATGCCAATGAAATGAGCATATTTAGTTAACCGGTCGACCACTACGAATATAGTGTCCATCCTTTTTGCCTTAGGGAGGCCCCCAATGAAATCCATTGATATATCTGTCCAACTGTGCTGGGGAATGGGTAAGGGCTGCAACAAGCCTGCAGGAGACAGCGTGTCATATTTATTACGTTGGTAGGAATCACAACCAGCCACAAAATCCTGGATGTCACGTTTCATGCCCTCCCAATAAACCACATTGGCCAATCGCTTGTAGGTCCTAAAGAAACCAGAATGACATAACCAGGATGTGATTCTGAATGATGAAGCATATCATCCAGAATTTTGCGCAGCTTCTCATCTCTCGATACCTCCTCGGCCCATTCCTTAATGTCTTCCTGTTGCAGAACAGAAAGGCCAGCGAATTGCATCTGTCTAGACAAAGCATCTGCAGCTTTATTCTCCCTTCCAGCCCGAAACTTGATATCGAAATCGAATCCCATGAGTTTAGACATCCATTTGTACTGGTCTTCACTCCATAACCTTTGATCAGTCAAGAATTTCAAACTTTTTTGGTCTGTCGGAATGGTGAAATGGTGTCCCATTAAGTAGTGCCGCCACTTCTGAACTGCTAGTGCCACTGCCATTAATTCCCGCTCATATACTGACTTCTTCTGGGCTCTCTCAAAAAGGGGTTGACTCCAAAAGGCCAAAGGACGCCCTTCCTGCATCAGAACTGCTCCAAGCCCCTTGCTTGATGCGTTAGATTCCACTACAAACTTCTTAGAGAAATCAGGTATAGCTAGAGCAGGTAATTGAATCATGGCTGCCTTCAAGTTATTAAAAGCAGCGTGTGCATCCTTTCCTCAAGCAAAGCTGTAATAACCACAAGGTGAGAGGTTTAGCTATCAGTCCAAAACCCTTCACAAAACGCCTGTAATAACCACAAAGTCCCAAAAATCCCCTTAGAGCCTTCAAATCTCGGGAAACAGGCCAGTGCTGTATTGCTACAACCTTCTGTGGGTTTGCAGTCACCCCTTTATTAGAAATTATGTGTCCCAAGTATTCTAAGGACTGCTGGCCGAACAAACATTTCTTTCTATTAACATACAGCTTGTTGTGTTTTAAGGCTGTCAATACTGCCTGCAGGTGCATCATGTGCTCTTGCTCACTGCTACTGTAAACCAAAATATCATTGAAGAATACTAAAGCAAAACGTCGGAGGTATGGTTTGAGGACCTCGTTCATGAGTGCTTGGAAAGTGGATGGAGCATTCTTTAATCCAAAGGGCATAACGAGAAATTCATAATGCCCTTCGTGTGATCTGAATGCTGTCTTCTCAATGTCAGACTCCTTCATCCGAATTTGGTGATACCCCGCTTTCAAATCCAGCTTCGAGAAAATAGAGGCGCCTCCTAGCTCATCCAGCAGCTCATCAATAATGGGGATGGGAAATTTGTCAGCTATGGTGACTTTGTTAAGGGCCCGGTAGTCGACACAAAACCGCCACCCACCATCCTTTTTCTTGACTAGCAAGATGGGACTCGAGTACGGACTGGTGATTTGCCTTATGATACCCGCTTCAAGCATCTCCTCAATCATCTTTTCAATCCCATTTTTTTGGTAGTGAGGATACCGATAAGGCCTAATATTTGGAATCCCGCTCCTTCCTCCAGGTGAATCGCATGATCATGACTCCTCTGCGATGGTAATCCTTTCAGAAGCTTGAAAACCTCCTCAAAATCTGCTAAGACCTGCTGTACTCCTTCAGGCACCTCCTCTTCATTTGTTTGCTCCCCGGTTAGCAGCGAGTATTCTAGCCAATAGCCTTTCCCTTGGTTCTGCAGAGCCTTCTTGACTGATTTGAAGGAAGCTTTTCCTTTTGACAAGGTAGGATCACCACGTATTTTGCTCACTCCATTTTCCTGTTGAATTTCCAGCACCAGTTCTTGAAAATCTATGCTAATCTTCCCCAATCTCTCTAACCAAGCTAAACCCAACACCAGATCCACCCCTTTCAAATCAAACAAGTAGAAGTCCTGTTTAATCCAAACTCCCTGGAGCTGCATCTCGAGTTGGCTGCACTTTCCTCTACACTTGATCTTCCTTCCATCACCCACCTCCATCGTATAAGGATCTGTGTCCTCTATCTCCAACCCGAAATCGCTCACCAACTTCCTCGAAACAAAGTTGTGAGAAGCCCCACAATCAATTAGCACGATGACCTCCTTATCCTGCATCTTTCCCCAGAGTTTCCATGATTTCTTGCTTGTAAACCCATCTATGGAGCAGGACAGCTGCATGGTTTGAAGTTCGCCGTCGTCCTTTTCTTGTGGGCCTTCGTTCTCATCTTTTGATAAATTCCAAGACCCTCTTTTTCATGCCCACCCAGTGCAATCCTCCAATAAGTTTTCAGAAAACCTGAACGCCCACCCTCAGGAGAAGCATGGAATTCCTCTAGTAATTGAGGAATGTAAGAGGAAGTAGATGGTATAACTATGCTCCCTTTATGCAGTAAGATCCCATTCTGAATAGAATAACCTGCCCTTTTTTTGGAATTTTTCTGTAAATCAGTCTTCATCTTTTGAATAAAATCATTCTCCTTTATCTCCTTCTGAAGTGCCTCACCTTGCAGCCATAAAGGATAGGACAAGATAGCATTTAGCTCAACATCCTCGTAGATTCGTGAGAGGGCATCTGCTGTCTTATTTTCAGTATCAGCCTTGTAAACTACTGTGAATTGGTATCCGAGTAACTTGGATAACCAATTTTGCTGAGCAGAGGTAGTAATCTTCTGATGCAACACTTCCTTCAAACTCTTCTGATAAGAAAAAATGGTGAACTTTCTCCCAACCAAATAATGACACCAATGTTGGATGGACAAGACCAGAGCCATCAGTTCCCTCTCATAAGTTGATTTAGACAATTGACCTGCAGAAAGAGCCTTGCTGTAAAATGTAATAGTTTGCTGCTGTTGCATGAGAACGGCTCTTATACCACTCCCTGAGTTAACTCAGCGAGAGGTTTAGCTATCTTCTTATAGTTCAAAACAAATTTCCTGTAGTACCTTGTCAGCCCAAGGAACCCTCTCACCCCCTTCACATTCTTAGGGGTTGGCCAGTTTAAGATGCTGTTGACCTTAGCAGGATCCATTGTCACCCCATTTTCAGAAATCACATGCCCAAGATACTCAATTTGACTTCTACCAAAACTACATTTTTTCATATTAGCTACTAACTAATTTTCCCTGAGGACTTCCAGAATCTTAGAAAGATGCAAAATATGTGCAGACCAGTCCCTACTATAAACTAATATGTCATAAAGAATATATGAAAAACACGTGGCTTCTTGTTCACCATTTGCCAAACTTGATTCAAGCATTGGGGACACTATGATTATGATTTAATTTGAACCTATATTGCTTAAATGGAATACTAAGTTCAGTCACCAAATAGTTTTTTGAATTTTCTATTCATATTTACTTTTATTTAGTCTAGCAATAGGCACGAACACTATTGATGTTTTCATCATCTCCTCAGATGCTTGCTACTATATTAGTTTTCTTTTGGTCTAGCCTTAATTTTTTGTTCCTTTTCTTCTCATACTTGTGTACATTTTATTGTTTGTGGTAGCTTTTGTATGTCTGAATATTTGGTAATAAAATGAATTTTTCAAACTGTGAAAGGCTACCTGCTGACTTGCCAAAACCAGACAAAGTTCTGATTGTTGAAAGAGTTATTGAATTCTTGGGGCTTCAGTCTGTGCGGAATTCTTTGGTTGGAACTGTAGAAAAGCGAGGGATCTCTGGAGGCCAAAGGAAGCGTGTAAATGTTGGATTGGAGATGGTCATGGAACCTTCACTCTTGATCTTGGATGAACCCACATCTGGGTTGGATAGTGCATCATCTCAACTCCTTCTTAGAGCACTAAGACGTGAGGCTCTTGAAGGAGTGAACATTTGCATGGTGGTTCACCAACCCAGGTGACTTTTAATTCCATGTCTGAATCATGGGGATATTGCTACCTTATCTATGGTTATATCTTTTTCAGTTGATTTCATATTTTTCCAATAAAAAAGTAGGGAATGATTGTTCAGCAGATAGTAGCTGATAACATTTACAATATAAGGTTTTTCACTCTTAACTTGTTTCCTGATGGAATAAATTTCAATAAACTGCTCTAATCATCATGCTGGTTCAAAAAGTTTAGAGCCAGACAGCCCAGAAAATCAAAGGAACTAATTTTTCAAGTGATTAGAATTTGGGTTTTGGGTTAAGATAAATATATGGCATATGAAATGGGGAAATTCAGGGCTTATTACCAGAATATTTTGCTAAGTCTGGTGAAGGACCAACTTGGCTGCTGGAAGGGTTTTGGAAAAATTTCAGGGTTTACAAGATCTCAACAATGTTTATTAATTTTTTCTAGGAAAGTGGAAGTATAGAGAGGGAATTCTACGGGATTCAGTTAGAGAGAATATAAATACAATGAGGGAAAAGAGAGAGGGTAAGGACTAAGAAACTCAGGGAATTGAGGAGAGAGGATTAGAATGTCGAATACCTGGTGTCCTTTTGTTTCTTTTCACTTTTTGAAAGTTCTATATGTGAATACACTTCCTAGTCCTGCAGTCACCAATATATTGGGCCAGAAATGGAGATAAATACCCCTATTTTTGTGCTTTTCATGATATTCTGAGCCAATTTCCATCACATACCCCTGTTTCTCTGCATGGAAAATTGGAAAATATGAATGAGAAGTAAGTATAATGTCTGATCTCATATTCCATACTTGGACTTGGACTTGATAATGGTATGATTTAACATTTTGCTGCAGCTATGCTTTGTTTAAGATGTTTGATGACTTGATACTCCTGGCAAAAGGTGGTGTTACTGTATATCATGGATCAGTCCAGAAAGTTGAAGAATACTTTGCAGGCCTTGGGATAACTATCCCAAAGCGCATTAATCCTCCAGATTACTTCATTGACATTTTGGAGGGCATTGCAATGCCGAGTGGAAGTTCAGGAGTGAGTTATAAAGAGCTGCCAGTTAGATGGATGCTTCATAATGGATACCCTGTACCTCTTGATATGCAGAAGAATTCTGCACAATATGATACATACGTAGCTACAAACCAAGTAAAAGAAATGGATGTTGATGGCTCTAGCCATGAAGAAAGAAGCTTTGTTGGAGAATTATGCCAAGATGTAAGAAATGTTATGGAATTAAAGGGGGAGAAAATAAGACTCAATTTTTTAAAATCAAATGATTTATCTGACCGTAAAACTCCTGGTATATTCAAGCAATACAAGTACTTCCTGATACGGTATACCATCCAATGCCTTCAATTAATTTTTATCTTCTCAGACGACTCATTAAGATCTTCACTTAATATGGGTTATTTTTTCCCTGAAGAATTACAAGTGTCTTGTTAAAAATTGTTCTCCTTTCTAAAATTGTAGCATGGATAGTGTTGGTGTCAATGCTGGGAATTGAACAGTTTTATTTGAATTTTTCATAGTCCAAATTTATGTGTTGTTTAAAGAAGGCCTTTAGAACTGGAAGGAACATTCAAATAAAACCTTTTCTTTTGAGAATATGATTGTCATTACCTTGCCGCACTTCATTCTTGTGTTTTGGAGACCAAACTGGAATTCAACAGAGTGCAATCATTTTCCTATAAAAGGAAAACTATAGTGGAATTTTCTCTGAATATTAGGTTATATGATAGCTTGCTAAATGGCACCATGTCTTTTCTGTACTGTATTTCACTTAGTGTAACTTTCTATTGATTGGAGAAAGAGTAGCAAATGACCTTTTATTAACAAACATGTCTACTCAATTTGGTGTCTGCAATTTTTATTTTGTTTGTTGGTGATATCCTACTCAATGCCAATGTTGTTTCAGGGTCGGGAAGCAGCAATTACGAGAAGCAAAGATCCAAGCTATAGATTATTTAATATTATTACTTGCTGGAGCCTGCTTAGGATCACTTTCAAAGGCAAGTGATCAGACCTTCGGTGCAGCTGGATACACCTATACGGTGATTGCTGTATGTAAGTTAATTGACTTCTACTAGTCTACAATGCTCTTTATATTATATCATTTTTTGTGGCTACTGTGCATTGAGATTATGTTGGAAACTAGTTTCTGAATTCTGATAATGCACAGACTAACATTAATCCTGTTTCAAACAGAATTGTATTGATAGTTTAGGAGAAGAGAATGATTTCTTTCTTCATTACTCAGTAAAAAAGATTATAGAGAATAAATAGGCAGAGGCAAAATCAATTAGAGAGATTCTCTTGCCCAAATAGATTACAAAATAAATTAAATAAGTATAAACAACGAAAAGATCAAATCAGAATCAGAGACATATTCAGACCTGATTTTATTCTATCCTAACTTTCTAAATATAAAATATTTACACAATCTCAACACTCCCTTCAAGTTGGTGCATATATATCCAACGTGCCCAACTTGCTTACAAGAAACTCGAAGTTAGGTCTAAACAGCCCTTTGGTAAGTATGTCTGCCAACTACTGAGTTTAGAACATTAGGCATGCAAATAATTCTTTTGTCAACTTTCTCCTTTACAATGTGTCTATCAATTTCCACATGCTTGGTCTGTTCGTGCTGGACAGGGTTGAGATATACTTATGGCAGCCATGTTATCACAATATGAACTTCATAGGGAGAGTCATAGGAAGCTGCAATTCTTCAAGGATTCTTTTCAACCACAAAATTTCACACACTCCTTGTGCCATGGCTCTATATTCAGCTGCAGCACTACTCCTTGCAACTACATTTTGTTTTTTGCTTCTCCAAGTAGCCAAGTTCCCCCACACAAAAGTACAATACCGAAATGATACTATGCTCTCATTTGCATAGTATCATTTTTCTTCCTTGTATAGACAAAATCAAAGGGTTTTTGGCCCTTGGTCATTGTAATTGGCTCATTTCCTCTTGTTTCAAAGCTTTCAGATCCAGAAACAGCTTCCAGATCTTTATTTTCAGCTTCAAGTTGTATTTCAGGTTATTTTCAGAACTTAACAAATCTGTTTGCAAGGGTTCTAATCCTAAAAGTGGAAAAAGAATTTCTGATTGTTCTGAATCTTCAAACTCCCCCCCCCCCCCCTGAAATGAGTGTCAAAAAAAGGCATTTTCTTGAAGAAGGTGACATCCATAGGTACGAAAATCATTTTGGAAATTTGTTCAAAGCACTTGTAACCTTTTTGGTTGGGAGCATAGCCAACACACTTTTTTGATCTTGGATCAAGTTTGTTATGATTTATTCTATGTGCCAGAACAAAATCTGTACAGCCCAATATCTTTAGGGGCAAACAAGCTGAAATTCTTTTTGCTGGAAAAATGCCCATGAAAAAATCAAAAGGAGTTTTTAAGTTTAAAACTTTGCTGGGCATTCTATTGATTAAATAAGTTGCAGTCAAGATTACTTCACTCCAAAGATAATTAGGTACATCATTTTGAAATAACAAAGCTCGATCAACTTCAAGAATGTGTTTATTTTCTCTCTCAGTCACCCCATTTGGTTAAGGGGTATCAACGCAAGAACTTTGGTGTATAATCCCTTCTTGAAGAAAAAAAAAAAATTAAACATTTGTTAAAATACTCTACCATTATCCAATGTTATCAATGGCGGATGGCGGCTCATGGCAGAAACTCAAAAAACTACCATAAAGTTATGGCGGTCGCCATGGTGGGTTATGACGGATTTATGGCGGATATAATAAAATATATAAAAAAAATACTATAAGTCAGAAAATAATAGAAAATAATTAACTCAAAATATATGTAACATAACCTTCAATCCAAAGTATAATTCAATACAAAATATGCAATTATCAAATGTCAAGTTAACAATAAAAATAAAGATTATCAATTTAGTCCTCTTCTTCAACTCCAACATAATCATCCTCTTTCTCATCCACCAAGGCATATCCCTTCCGACATCTCTTCATCTTCTAATTCTTCATCATCATCTTCAAGAATCATTTTCTCTTTTCCTTTTGCTGTTGAACATGCCTTGATCTTGGAAACTTTTGCAGCTTTAATAGTGAAACCACTTGATGGACTCTTTCTTTTCTTAGAATGACGCCTAGTATATGTTGTAGGCTCTCCAATTTCAGAAATTTCATAAACAGTTGCCCAATTTAAAGTGTTATCACCATAAAAAACTAAGTCATTTCCAGCATCCTCATTTAGAGCATCATCATCCATTTCTCCAAACAACCACTCATTATACTCATCAATATCATTGAGTGTAATTGGATCAATTACATCTTTAAGATTGTAATGTTCTTTGAGTTGTTGGTTGTATTTCACATAAACCAAGTCATGTAATTTTTTGTGATCAAGTCTATTTCTCTTCTTTGAATGAATTTGCAATGTTAGTTTAATTATAAGAATATTAATTAGTTTCTTTCTAATTTCTAACAGAAAGTAGTAGGCTTGAGAGATAAGAAATTACTTGCTCAAAAACACTCCAGTTGCGTTCACATCCGGATGCACTACATGTCAAGCTCAAAATTTTGATAGCTAGTTGCTGCAAATGTGGAGCTGAATGTTCATACATTCTCCACCATTGAGCTATAAAATGAAAGATAAATTATAACTCTAAAGATGAAGTATAACCTTAAAATTAAAATATTGAAGAATTTGATGAATTACCGGGAGCAATGCTTTTTCTTTGTGATTTTGCAAAGTCGGATCCAAAGAGACTACCATCGCTCTTATAAATTGGTAATTCAAGTAGTATACTTTGTTGCACATCTCGACTTAGCACTAACTTCTTGATACAATCATACAATCTATTTGTAACTTCCAAATCAAATTCAATTTGAGGGTTATCATAGTAAAATTCCGGGTTTAAAATGTGACCAGCTGCATGTAATGGACGGTGAAGCTGACAAGTCCATCTGTTATCAATGATTGCAAACACATCTCTGTATTTACTTTCATTATTTTTGAATGACTTCATAATAGCTTCTTTACTTTTCTCCATTGCTTCATAAATATACCCCATGGTTGGTCTTCTTTCCCTATCAACCAAACGTAACACCCGGACAAAAGGAGCCATGCTTGCTTCCCTTTAACTTCCTTTGATAACTTGTTTTTACACCATTCTTCAGAAGTAGACATCTTTCTAAGATTTTCTTTTTCTTGGTGAAGCCTTTCTAATGATAGAAAAGAAGTTGCAAATCGAGTAACTGCATGTCTTACTAATTCCCTCTTGTTTGTAAAATTTCTCGAGGTACTTGAATGACTGTAGATAAAGCCATCAACCGATATTCCCCTTTGAATTGTCTTCTTTATCAAAGGAAACTTTTCAATATCTTCAAGCATAAGATCTATACAATGAGCTGTACAAGGAGTCCAATAAAGATGTTGTCTTTTCGCTTCCAACATCTTACCAGCCAAGACATAATTACTTCCATTATCCGTTATCACTTGTACAACTTTATCTTCTCCAATCTCTTCCACAAGAGCATCAAGCATCTCAAATAATTTTTCACCGGTCTTCACAAAATTAGATCCATCAATAGATCGCACAAACATAGTCCCAGCAGGAGAGTTGACCAAAAAATTAATCAAGTATCTTTGTTTTCGATCGGTCTATGCATTTGACATGATGGAACAACCATGTTTGCTCCATTGCTCTTTATGATCTTTCATGAGAGAATTGTTATATTCTAGCTCTTTCTTTAGAAGTGGAACTCGAATATCATGATAACTTGGAGGTGGTAGATTTGGATCGAAAGCACCAACAGCAGTAAGCATTTCTTGAAAGCTCTTCATCTTAATGAGGTTAAAAGAAAGGCCAGCTTGATACCAAAATCGAGCTATGTATTGATGGACCCTTGCTTTGGCTTCTTTGTCACAAACTTCTCTTATATTTGCTTGTCTCACTTTTAACTTTTTCTTTTTATCAATTGCACTTTTTGGCTTTCTACAAAACAAATCCATTGGCCCATTCTGATTAGCCATGGCAATACTATGTGTTTGGGAATCCTCCTCATCCTCACTTTCATCATAGATTATACTTTCAAAGGTTCTCACATTTGGCATTTCAAAGTTGTTTTGACTCTTTTTATCCTTTTGATATGGCTCAATCTCTTTTCTAACTTCTTCAGGACACTTGGGGCAAGTTTTCACATTACCTTTCTTTTCAATCAAATGTTGTTTCACTCTAGTTATTCCAGCACTCATAACTTTTCCACAAAAATTACATACAATGTTGTTTGTATCACCCTCTTTTAATGAATGAGCATATTTCTATCCTGGGTTAGATCGATTAGAAGCTCTTGATGATGAAGATTCTTGTTGAGCCATGTTAAGAGAAGCTGAAATAAATATAAATTTTTTTATAGGAAAAACAGAGAAAAACCAAATATGTGGAAGAGGAACAAATTGAAAGATGGAAAGGATAAAATAGAAATTAGGAAAATAAAGAACAAACTGCAAGAGACGGGAAAAAAAAGAAAAAAAATGGCTATTGGAAAATATGGGGTCGCTGGAGATGGAGGTTTAGGTCGTCGAAAATGGAGGTTCAGGTTGCAGCAGATGGAGATGTCGTCGGAGATGAAGAACAGAGTGGCAGCTGCAAGCAAAACAAGTAAAAAGTCAAAGAAACAAAGATCAAAGTTCGTCAGAGAACGCAGAGACGATCGGAGACGAACGAAGATGAGATCGGAGACGAGAGGGATTAGAAGAGAGAGAGAGAGATTTGAGATGAGGGTCGGCTTTGAGTGTCGAAGAAGAGGACTAACCTTATTTCTGTGCGGGTCACCATTGGGCCGGGTTAGGTTTGGGCCCAAACCGTCGAATCTGCCATTTTTGAAGGATTTCCGCCATGGCCGCCATGGCGCCGCCATCTGAATCCGCCATTTAACAGAGGCGGTTTAACGGCAGTCTTCAGAACTACCATGGCGAACCGCCATGGCGCTGCCATGGTCGCCATTTGATAACACTGCCATTATCACCTTTAAATATGTTTATTTGCTGTTTGAATTGAGGCTTTTTCATTTGAATTTTTTTTTAAAATTCTGATGGGACCCAAAACAACAATGAAGGTCTTTGGAATACAAGCCCTTCAAGGCCCACTGTGTGGTGGGTTTACTCTCGTAGGAAGAAAGACAATAATCAATAATTAGGAAGTTTGTTATTATTCTGTTTTATTATTATTCTGTTATTAGAATGCTGTTTTGAATTTGAATCAGTCAGGATATTCTTGTATTAGATTAAGTTTTGAATTTGAATAAGTTAGTTAGGATATTCTATTATCAGATTAGGTTTGTTTTATTGTTCTTTATTTAAATGTTAGTTTGAGGAATGAAGGGGGAGTTTTTCGGCTAGACTTAGGAGAGGAGAATAACATTCTCTAAGAGGAGCTTTGGCTCTAGGGGATTCTTGTAATCCTGATTCCTATCATAATCAATAAAATATCCTTTTCTTTTTCTTCAATTATCTGAGTATAGATTTTGGACCCTAATAATTGGTCTGACTTGCCGGATCACCTTTCGATGCATACGAGATCAGTGGAGAGCATGGAGGCATTAGAGGCAAGAATTCAGAGTATGGAGACCGCCTTTACGGACTATCGAGCGCTGATGAGAGAAGAGATGAAAGAGAGAGATGCGAAGCTCTTGGAGGACATACAAAGGTTATTCTAAACCAAAAACGAGGAGGGTCCGAATCTGAATTTGCATCCTCCCAGAACTGTACCCAATGACGAGGATGATTACCAAGCTTCAATCAAGAAGGTAGAACTACCTCAATTTGACGGGGTTGACCCCGTTGGGTGGATTTGCAGGGCTAAAACTTACTTCGATGTGCATGGCACTTCGGAGGAGATGAAAATCCGCCTCTCAAAGTTGAGCATGGATGATAATACTATCCATTGGTTTAATCTATGGCGGGATAAAGAAGACAATGCAACGTGGGAGCGCTTGAAGAGGTCCATGGTAACAAGATTTGGGGTCGGGAGGCTTGACAATCCCATTGAAGAGTTGGCTGCGGTTAAGCAAACCGATTCGGTTGAGGAATACATAGAAGCCTTCGAAATCCTTGCGTCGTAGGTGTCATCACCATTATCGGATGCTCATTTTTTGGGCTTCTTTATGAATGGTCTCCGGCCAGAAATCTGGAGAAAGGTGCGGTTGCTGTCCCCAACCTCCCGGACAGCAGTGATACGCATTGCCTGCTGGGTGGAGGAAGATCTGGTCGCTGATGGAAGGTTAGAAGCGTCGGAAGCAAAGAACAGGGGCTATTATGCACCTACTTCCTTGGGGAATCAACCATTTAATAGGGATCGAAGTATCACACCCTTTGTCCGCGACAACCTCAAGGTTGGAGAGAATTTGTAGGCAGGAAACTCCATGACGAGGCCCTTGGGTTCCTCGGGAGATCCAAATTCAAAAGGAAATTTCATGCGCATTTCCCAAACAAACGGGGGGCAATCTCGTGGTGTAAGACACCTTCCTTTGGAGGAGTTGATGGATTGTAAAAACGAAGGGCTTTGTTCCCGCTGTGCAGAGAAATTCGGCCCTCGCCATCAATGCTCCGAAAAATCGTTGAGGATAATCCTCTTAGATGAAGGAGAGGAGCAAGGAGAGGGTGGTGTTGTCGCGACTCTGGTAGCGGAAGAAGAGGAAAGTGAGGCCCCAATAATGTGACTGTCATCAAAAGTTAGTTTCCTTCATTCACTCTTGAGGACAAGAGTGAAAGTTCATGGGGTGGTATTGATGGGACCCAAAACAGCAATGAAGGCCTTTGGAATACAAGCCCTACAAGGCCCACTGTGTGGCGGGTTTACTCTCGTAGGAAGAAAGATAATAATCAATAATTAGGAAGTTTGTTATTATTCTATTTTATTATTATTCTGTTATTAGAATGCTGTTTTGAATTTGAATCAGTCAGTTAGGATATTCTGGTATTAGATTAAGTTTTGAATTTGAATAAGTCAGTTAGGATATTCTGTTATCAGATTAGGTTTGTTTTATTGTTCTTTATTTAAATGTTAGTTTGAGGAATGAAGGGAGAGTTTTTCGGCTAGACTTAGGAGAGGAGAATAACATTCTCTGAGAGGAGCTTTGGCTCTGGAGGATTCTTGTAATCCTGATTCCTATCATAATCAATAAAATATCCTTTTCTTTTTCTTCAATTATCTGAGTATAGATTTTGGACCCTAACAAATTCCCTCTACTTCGGATCTTTCTTTCATTAAGTACACCCACATTAGTCTAGGATGATCATCTATAAAAGTAACAAACAACCTTTTTCCAAGAGGAGTAGGATCATGACTGGGACCGCACACATCACTATGAATGAGAGTAAAAGAACTAGACTTTTTGTAGGGTTGAGTGGAGTAAGTAGAGCGATGATGCTTTGCCTATTGACAAGTTTCACAAGTAATTAAGGTTAACTCCATTGTTGGAATTATGCACTTATAGTAATAGGTAGATTTTATTTTATCATTATGGTTATCAGGGAATTGTATATTCTTGTAATCAATTGTAATTATCCCAGTATTTATGACACATTATAAATATATTCTCCAGTGTGCAAATTCATCAAGTATCTCTTGCTTTTCTCTATCTCTCAACAGACATGTTAATTAATGTTATTATTTCCATGAATAACAATGGTTAAAATTTATAATCTGACAACAAAGATTTCAAACTGCTAATAGTAACTCAGCATACAGCTTTGCTATATTGATCTTCCTCTGACTGTATAAAGTAGGTATTAAATAAAAAAGTGTATGCATTCATTATCTTGAAAACATAAAACACATATAATACTATATTTAGTAATTAGAAGGATTTAGAATTATTCCTCAACTTATATTTGCTTTGGTGCTGACAAGGTTACATGCTTTTAATCACACTTTTTGTTGAGCCTTGGGGTAAATCATGGAATATTTTTAATTGGATTTTCATTTTGGAATTAGAATACATTCAATATTTTTGAATTTGCAAATATACTTCAGAATTCGTCTGCAAAATGCTTTATTCTATGTTATCATTTTTGTTTTCAGCTCTTTTATGCAAAATTGCCGCCTTGAGATCATTTTCTCTTGATAAATTACACTACTGGAGGGAGAGTGATTCTGGCATGAGTAGCTTGGCTTATTTTCTCTCTAAAGACACAATGGATCAATTTAATTCAGTGGTCAAACCTGTGGTGTACCTCTCTATGTTCTATTTCTTTACATATCCAAGATCAACTTTTGCAGATAATTACATAGTGCTGCTTTGTCTTGTATACTGTGTGACTGGCATTGCATATGCATTAGCCATATTCTTTGAACCTGGTGCAGCACAGCTAGTGAGTATTAGTTATAACAAAACCCAATTCAAATTTTAATTATTATGTTTTCACTTGCTCTTTGACATGTTACTATTTCTTGCAGTGGTCAGTACTTCTACCGGTTGTTTTGACACTTATTGCAACACAACCAAAAGACAGTAAATTTTTGAAGGGTATAGCTAATTTATGCTATTCTAAGTGGGCATTAGAAGCATTCATAATTGCAAATGCTGAAAGGTAATTTGCTGTTAATTACAAGTATTGATTGAACTCTACTAGTTGTCCTGTGTGTTCCCTTGAAGCAATTTGCTAAATTGCCTGCATGTAGAGAAAAGTAAGCAAGTATTGCTTGTCACTTTGGGTGACTGTATGCATTGCAAGATAAACAAAGACAGGGGTTCTTGTGTTGGACATCCCCGGTAAAAAATGAGTTGCTTGGCTTTACTGCATTCAAAACCCGAGTAAACTATGAGATTGAGGTAGGGAACATAGAACATTTGAGACATTAATGGCAATCACTATGGAAATGGTATAATAATTAGAAGGATAAGTACATCATGTAAAAAATGGGTTGGAGTCAAACAGATTATTTTCTTTTTCAATCTACAAGTTGTGATTATTAGGAAGAGATTGCAAAATAGGGATGAGCAGGTATCAATATTTATGACTCTCTTAAGGAGGAACAGTGCGGTTGATAAGGAAGGCAATCAGCTACCATAAAGATAGTTCATGGAAGGAAGCACTTTTAGTATATGTCTTAATTTTGACCAAACACTTGGATAAAAATGTTGTTTTAGGTGGATCTAGAGGGGATAATCCTAACCATTTATCGAGAAGAATAAGTCTTTGCTGGAGGGGATCTAAACAAACATGTTGGAAGAGAAGATAAATATAGAAGGCCCATGGTGGATACAAGGTTTTAGAACAAAATAAGGAGGGAAAATTACTTTGGAAATTGCATATAAGCCTAAGATTTGATGATACCTAATTTGTTCAAGTAAAAGGAGTTAGTATTATGCTGTTGTTTTTAGAAATTGAAGATTAAAACATAGATTGATTACAACAAAAGTCGTTACCATTAGGGGAAACACACATTGATTATTTGCTTTAAATAATGATGGATGGCAAAATGATAATATAGGAGAGAATATTGGAGTAGCATGGTGTAGTGGTTCTAGGAAAGATGAACAATCGAAGAACTGAAACAATAGGGATCCCAATGAAAAGAATGGGAACCGAAGAATTGTATTGATTGAAGGAGAAGATACAAGGCAATTTCTTACACAAAATGAATGCTAATCAACTATTTTTGTTATCCAGCTATATATAGCTGGTTCATAACTAACGATTCCAACTAACTCCTATTTTTGGGACTTAACAGAAAACGTTTCCTATCTCACTTACTGACTATATTTGTATAAAACCCCATAATTCACTAATATCCTACATCATAGCATCTATAGTGGAAAAGATGATTAAGAATCGTTTAAGGTGGTTCTGTCATGTGCAAAGAAGACCTTTGGAAGCACTAGTAAGGAGAGTGATTTGCATGACTCTTAGTTCGATAAAGAGAGGTCGAGGGAGACCCAAAAGAAACTTAGACAAAGATATTAAAAGAGACCTTTTGATTAACAAGATTTTTGAAAATTTAGTTTTTGACTAAGTTCAATGACATTGTATGATCCATGTAGCTGACTTCTCCTAGTGAGATAAGACTTGATTGTTGTTATAATGATAGATAATAAATGTGATGTAATGATTGTAAGATGTTGCCTTCAGATTGTTTAATGAACTAGCATAGGACAATGATGCTAGATGTACATATGATGGATACAAGCCTTTGAAGGATGAAGTTTGTAATGCTCAAAGAAGTTAAAAAGTTAAGGGGTGGAATTTTTTTAGTGCCTAGGACCAACTCTAACAAAATCTCAAGTTGTTTGGTGAAATGAGAAGACTCAAGCTTGTAACTAGTTTTTATGTCTAATAAGCTCCCTAATGCAAAGCTAGTTAGACGATACACATCCCCACCTATCTGCATTGAAATACCAACTTATATTTTGAAGATTGGGGCGTTGTCTAAATCTTAGACCAGGTGGTAACGTGGTCATATAAGTTTTGATACAATATCAATGAATAATTATTCCCAAGCTTTAGTTTCATGAATGATTTTTGTTCAAAGAGAAAGAAATAAAGAACATTGATGAAATTTGTGTATCAACTACACAATGGGTTGGATATTTATATTGATAATAAAGATTAGCAGTGATTACAAAATAATTATAGAATATACAATTATCTAATTAATATAATTACAAAGATACCAATTTTCCTAATTGACATATTCACACATATTTAACACTCTCCCTTGATCTAGATCATATAAGTCATATGCATTAAACTTGTCACATTTGTACTTAATACGAGGATCTTTAAAAGATTTGGTGAATACATTTGCAGTTTGAAGAGATTAAGAGAGAAAGAGCATAGAGAGAGAGAGAGACAGATTAGTGTGCTGGAATTGGATACTCTACAATGTGTAGAGATCCTTATATTTATAAGAATACATATGTAACTCTACTGAGCCAAGTCTGTTATTATAATATTAAAATAAACCCTAATCCTAATACATTTATTCTAGTTATTCATAACACTTTCCCTCAAGCTAGAGCATAGATATTAATCATGCCTAGCTTGTTACAAATATAATTGCTACGTGTCCCATTTAAAGCTTTTGTAAACACATCTGTTAGTTGGTCGCCTGTCCTAACATGAGAGATGAATATAAGCTTCTTCTAAACTTTTTCTTGAATAAAGTGACAGTCTATCTCAATATGTTTCGTCCATTCATGAAAAATTGGATTGGAGGCAATGTGTATCGCTGCTTGGTTGTCGCACCAAAGTTGCATTGGCCTAGTGCTATCAAATCCTATCTCTTCCAGCATATGTTTCAACCACATTAACTCACAAGTAGTCTAAGCCATCGCCTTGTATTCTGATTCTGCACTTGATCTTGAAACAACGATCTGCTTCTTACTTTTTCACAAAATTAAATTACATCCTAAGAACACACAATATCAGGTAGTAGATTTTTTGTTGGTAGATCTTGCCCAATCGGCATCAGAAAATGCCTCTATCTGTGCATGTCCATGATCTTTGTACACAATTCCTTTTCCTAATGCTTTCTTCAAATACTTCACAATGTGAATTAATGCTTCCCAACAAGTATTCATCAGAGATGACATAAATTGGCTAACAACACTTACTGGAAAAGCAATATCCGGCCTCGTGATAGTCAAGTAATTTAGCTTGCCTATTAATCTTTTGTATTTCCGTGGATCTACAAAAGGAACTCCATCTGCTGTTAGTTTCACTCTTAGCTCCATAGATGTCTCACATGGTTTAGCTCCTTTTAGTCCTGTCTCAGTTAATGTCTAAGACATATTTTCTTTGTGAAAGGAAGATTCTTTGCTTGGAGTACATGACTTCAATACCCAAGAAGTATTTCAGAATTCCTAAGTTTTTTGTCTGAAACTTAGTTTGAAGATGTAACACCTAAATTACTGCCAAGATCCTATCTCCTAAAAATATATGTATTTAGACTTCCCTAAGATAGTGTACCCAATTGAACATGAACAAGGAATTATTCATTCGACATTAGTGTGGAACTAAACAACAATTTCACAATTTAATTCATAGGTGAGGGTACATTATCCTTCATTTCTTCATTCAATCTGTTCGTTACCAAATCATGCATATTGTATTACGTTTTACTAGTGTACTTGAAATTTCTTCAAATTAATTTCTTTTTATGAAAGAGATAAAGGTGAGTGCTCAACATCACATGCTTCGTGGAATGGAATTCTGAAATCATAATGAGAGACATGTAAATAGGGACAAAATTTTGATTTTGTGCATATACGTCCCTAGTGTAAACGGTTCAAGGTAAACCATCGTAAAACAAAAAAAAGAGAAGACCTCATGGTTCAGTATTTCAAAATTAATTATAAACAGCCCCCAAAAAGAAAGGAAAGTATAAAACTTAAGAGCAGTGTTCATCCATGACAAAAAAAAATAAAAATCTACATATAAAACTCTGGTGGAAAGGAATCCTCACTAGGATCAGATTCCATTCCATCAGAATCAGATGCAGCATCCACAGGCTGAGGGCGAAGAGAGGGTGGTAAGTCGTCCGGGTCGCTGTCAATCCAACCGATGCTAGGCGGTGGCGATCTCGAGGTGGGTGGCAGTGGTGGAGAAGGGTGTCGGGTGGAAGGTCCAGCTTCGTCGGAAGGTGGCGCCTGAATATCGAGAGGTTGACGAGGGACTGGCCTGACGGAAGACGCAACCACTCCAATGTCTTTCCATTCAGGTGTGGGCGCAGGAGTAGGGCTAGGACAGGGGCTGGGTTCAGGGTCAAGGTCAATGATAGTTTTACCTTTATCCACAAAAGTCTTAAGACGTTTGGCGGGAGGTTCATGAGACGGTGGAGAAGAGGGAGGTGTATGAATGATGATACTCCGTTCGGGTGGTAGGGGCACGGAGATTTCGGCAAAAATGTGGTCCATCCAGTTGGGCTTCCATTCGCCTTCAGTGAGAGGTCCCATGGACATGGAGACCATTCCCTGGTACGTCAAGCGGCGCGTTGCTAGGTCGTAGATCCATCCCTCCTTTCCTCCCGAATCCTCTCCCCAAATCCTCGCTCGGAGTGGGTCCATCTGCCATGCATTCATGCAACACACAACAACAGCAAGACAAGACGCAACACCAGACAAAAACAGAACAAAAAGGGTGAGCTCAATACATTCAATTATCAAAAATCGAATAAGTAAGAAAATCAGCATAATAGTAACGAACCTACTGACTTATAGTTCAATAATCACATTATCATAACATAATATTCATCAAACAGCCACAACGCAAATAAAGTGAATGAGTTCCATTATACTCAAGGTAATTGAAACGTCACTACTTCAGTTTGTTCCCACTATTCCTCCAGTCAAGGTGATCGGAGACCCTCGTTCCCTACAAGCACACATTGTATGTAATCCATCAAGAATATTCTCCCAACTTAACCATTTCGGTTCCTCAGGAACGAGTCCTTCCACGATCCTCGGTAATGCTTGCTCGCGTCAGGATTAGTGGAGGTTTCGATGGCGACGTGTCCCGGCCGCGGTGAGCTATTTCGCACCATTGGGGCAACCCCCCTCCACTACCCCCAAGGTTCTTCCCTCAAACCTGAACACTCACATCCCTCAGTTGTGCTAGACTGCGACCTTGACTCTCCATCCTCCATATCATGCACATAAAGAGTTTCGTAACCGCATCCTCCTTACACCATTTTTGAACGCACATTAAATTCCTAAAGGTCACAAACCACATATCCAAATCCATGTTCATAAGAGTTGGTACGTTCAAAGAATAAAAGAACCATTCGTTCACGGTCCAAGAATAAAAGAAAAAGGAGAGAAGATGGAGATAGTTATAAAAATTTTGTTGAAATATCATAGTCGAAATGTACCTTAACAAACAAAATGATCATCAAAGAATCATGGCAATAACCACAAGTTTAATCACACATGCAACTCATTTCTACCACAAATTTTTCGTAAAATAGTGATTAGGTGGTAGGAGAATTCTTTCATGGTTAAGAAAAAGGGTTCCTTGGTCATACAGAATCAAACCAAGAGAAAAAGGTGAGTAATTTCTCAGCTAAAACAAAAAGGAAGAAGGGTAGTCGATGAAAACCGAAAAGAACACAAGGATTCATACAAAGATTTCAATATTATCAACATGCAAAACTATTTCAGCTTCAATCAAGTTCACGCAAGTTACAAAACATGGATTTTTAAAACACCATCCAAATAGAATTACCACGAGATGAAGGAAAATGGTTTGCATGAAATTCTAATTGATGAAGGTCGGAGACGAAAACAAGAAGAGAGTGCATGCAGAGTTTACAAGTTAACGAACAACCACATGCATTCAAGCGCAAACAAGAGCTCCCCTATCAAAATATGGCAGTCCAAGAGGTGGCGGCTGTATTTATTTAGGGTAACCTGGAACAATGGAATTGCATTAAGTATACTTAATTTGGGGCTAGAATCCTAGGCTATTAAATTCGATTCTCCCCCCCTCCCCGGACATGAATGAATTTTCGGTTACTAGCACTAAATGAGGAAAGATTAAAACTTGCCTCTTGGGTCCTTTGTAGTACACGTGACTTCTAGGGTAAAAAAAAAAATAGATGATGGCTCTCATTAATGGTCTAACTTAGTGTGCATGGTACCAGAATACTGGAAGACTTAAGTACATCCACTATTAGAATCTAATGAACATTCAATATAAATAAAGAAAGTTACACGTGCAGTTCCACTTAAATTTAAGAAAGCACATCACACAATCAAATAATAAGAATTAAAAGAACTATGTAACATTAATAACAATCATCAAGGGAATGAAAGAAATAGGGTCCATTCATCTGACTCAAAAGACTATCTCGCCCCCAGGCTAATCTCACTAACCTTGGGTTAAGTCAAGGTAACTTCATCACATAATCATATAGATATACACCCTGGGAGAAAGAGAAAGAGCATAGAGAGAGAGAGAGACAGATTAGTGTGTTGGAATTGGATACTCTACAATGTGTAGAGACTCTTATAGTTATAAGGATACATATATAACCCTACTGGGCCAAGTCTGTTATTATAATATTAAAATAAAACCTAATCCTAATACGTTTATTCTAGCTATTCATGACACAGTTGATCACTTTGATGAAACTTGTGGTGATGACTTTGCATAGGATCTTCTCATGAATAAAGTGACAAATAATCTCAATGTATTTTGTTCTTTTGTGAAAGATTGGATTAAAGGCAATATGCAAGGTTGACTGGTTATCCTTTCTCTTTACATCAAGGAAAGTAAAGAGAAAGAGAAGCTTTTGATATATTCTTTGTTTTTCTTTTGATAAATCCTAACTATTGTCTTTAAGCTACTAGTCAAGAAATTAAAAGAGAAAACTTTTTATTAAAATTGCTTTTAATGCATACTCACCATAATATTCAGTACACTCAACGTAATTTTTAGTAGTTTTTTTATTTATTACTGTTCAGTGAAAAAAAATATCATGTACTCATGAAACAGTTATGGATAACTTGAGGTATTTATTAACTGTTACTTTATTTGTAGGTATGATGGAGTGTGGCTCCTAACTCGTTGTGGTTCACTAATGAAAAGTGGCTATAATCTTCATGATTGGAGTTTGTGCATATCCATCCTCATTCTTATGGGGGTAATTGCTCGGGCAGTAGCATTTTTCTGTATGCTTACTTTTCAAAAGAAGTAAGGCCTAATCTGCGAGTTATTTACAAATGGAGTGTGCAAATTGGAAGGAAAGCACGTGTTTCATGTTCAATTGCGTTAGGATTCTCAGCATTCAAGAATGTCTGATTAATTTTCGGGGCTAATGTTGATTATTTGACACGAGATCGTGCGTGTTTCAATTCTTAAGATCATATTATGTATAGATATTCTGCCTAAATTCATGATCTACTATTTTGATATGATACGTTTGTATATGGCTAGTTTTAGTGTGTTTGTTATAGCAATGTAATAGTATTTAATGCTATAATCGATCTTTTCATGTTTTTCCTTTTTCTTTTTTGTAAATTTGGTATTATAAATTATCAACTAGACTCGAGAATAAAGCAAAATGATGTTGCAGGAGAAATTAGAAGAAAAAGAATAGTTAATAGTTTTATTTAATTAAAAAATTTTCTAATTCAGATTTTTAATCATTTCATATTTTTAACATTATTAATTAGTTACATTTAAATTTGTAGGCAAATTTCATGAAATTTTTTTTGATAAACTGCCTCGAATGTTAAAGAACTACATTGAAAGGCAAAATTGATAGAATGTCACTTGAGAATTGTTTCAAAGAAGAAAAGGAATAGAGAGGGGAAAAAAAGGACAATACTATGAAGAAATTCTACTTGTGCAGCAAGAGGGGTGAGAAAGGAAGCTAATAAAGTAGGGAACCTAGAACAACGATTAAGAGTGAATGGAGGCAGCAGAGAAGTAGGGTCATGGTATAAGTATTCCATATTTGCTCAAGTTCTGGATTTTGTCTCGCTTTGGTGTCTTTTTGCTTAGCGGCTAGGTAACACATGTAAACCTCATCTTGAGATGCTGAAACTCCTTGGAAGTGACTTATAAGACTCAAAGAAAGGATTCTCTGCAGCTCTTTCTCCTTTAGACACTTCTAGGCGCCTTTAGGCACAAGTTTTGGATTTTGTCTCGCTTTAGTCACTTTTTACTTAACGGCTAAGAAACACGTGTAGAACTCGTCTCGAGCCACTGAAACACTTTGGAGCTGACTCCTAGAACTTCAAGGAAGGGTTTCCCACCGCTCTCTCCCATCTTCGCACTTCCTGACGCCTTTATGCTGAAGTTCCAATTTTGGTCCCCTTTGGCTTAGCGGATAAGGAACGCGTGCAAACTTCGTCTGAAGCAACTCAACCTCTTTAGAACTGACTCTTAGGACAAAAAGCAAGGGTTTCACACCACTCTCTCTCCTCCCGGTGCTTCCTGGTGCATTTTGGCCTCCTGGTGCATTTTGGCCTAAGTTTAGATTTTCGTCCGCTTTTACTTAGAGGGTAAGGAACACGTGCAAAATTCATCTCAGGCCGCTCAAACTCCTTGGAGGTGACATCTAGGACTCAAAGAAATAGTTCCCAGCCACTTTCTCCCTCTTGGGCTTTCCTGGCAACTTTGGGCCTAAGTTTAAATTTTGGGTCTCATCTTGGTCCCCTTTTGCTTAGCGGCTAAAGAACGCGTGCGAACCCCGTCTGAGGCAGCTCAAACTCCTTGGAACTGACTCTTAGGACTCGAAGGAAGGGCTTCCCACCTTCTCTCTCATTTTGGTGCTTTCTGACGCCTTTGAGCCCAAGTTCTAATTTGAGTGTCATTTTGGTCCCTTTTTACTTAGCGGCTAAAGACCGCGTGCAAACCTCGTCTAAGGCAGCATAAACTCCTTGGAACTGACTCCTAGGACTAAAAGCAAAGGTTTTGCACCGCTCTCTCTCCTCTTGGCGCTTCCTGGTGCATGTTGGCCCAACTTTACATTTTGGTCCGTTTTTGCTTTGCGGGCAAGGAACGCGTGCAAAACTCGTCTTGGACCGTTGAAACTCCATGGAAGTGACTTCTGGGATTCAAAGGAATAGTTTTGCACCGCTCTCTCCCCTGCTCACGCTTCCTGGTGCATTTAGCCCTAAGTTTGGATTTTGGTCCCATTTCTCTTAACGGCTAAGGAACGTGTGCAAACCTCGTCTGACGCAGCTCAAACTCCTTGGAACTAACTCCTAGGACTCAAAGCAAAGGTTTCCCACCGCTCTCTCCCCTCCTAGCGCTTTTTGGTGCATTTTTGCCCAAGTTTGGATTTTAGTCCCTTTTTGCTTAGCAGGTAAGAAACGCGTGCAAAACTCGTCTTGGACCGCTGACACTCAATGGAAATGACTTCTGGGACTGAAAGGAATAGTATCCCACCGCTCTTTGCCCTCCTGACGCTTTGTTGTGCATTTAGCCCTAAGTTTGGATTTTGGTCCCATTTCTCTTAGTGGCTAAGGAACATGTGCAAACCTCGTTTGACGGAGCTCAAACTTCTTGGATTTGACTCCTAGGACTCGAAGGAAGGATTTCTCACCATTTCTCCCATCTTGGCGCTTTCTAACGCCTTTGCGCCTAAGTTCCAATTTGGGTCTCATTTTGGTCCCTTTTTTCTTAACGGCTAAGGAATGTGTGCAAACCTCGTCTGACGTAGTTGAAACTCCTTGGAAATAACTACTAGGACTCAAAGCAAGTGTTTCCCAGCGCTCTCTCCCTTCCTAGCGCTTCTTGGTGCGTTTTGGCCTAAGTTTGGGTTTTGGTCCCTTTTTGCTTAGTGAGTAAGGAACGCGTGTAAACATCGCCTGACGCAACTCAAACTCCTTCGAAATGACTCCTAGGACTCAAAGCAAGGGTTTCCCACCGCTCTCTCCCCTCCCAGCGCTTTTTGGTGCATTTTTGCTTAGGTTTGGATTTTGGTCCCTTTTTGCTTAGCGGGTGAGGAACACGTGTAAACATTGTCTAACGCAGCTCAAACTCCTTCGGAATGACTCCTAGGACTCAAATAAAAGGTTTCCCACCGCTCTCTCCCCTCCTAGCGCTTCTTTGTGCAGTTTGGCCCAAGTTTGGATTTTGGTCCCCTTTTGCTTAGCGGGTAAGGAACGCGTGTAAACATCATCTGAGGTAGCTCAAACTCCTTCGAAATGACTCCTAGGAGTCAAAGGAAGGGTTTCCCACCGCTCTCTCCACTTCTGGCGCTTCTTGGCGCCTTTGGGCCCAAGTTCTAATTTGGGTGTCATTTTGGTCCCCTTTTGCTTATCGACTAAGGAACGCGTGCAAAACTCATCTCAGGCGGCTCAAACTCCTTGGAGGTGACATCTAGGACTCAAAGAAATAGTTCCCAGCCGCTTTCTCCCCTCCTGGGGTTTCCTGGCGACTATAGGCCCAAGTTTCAATTTTGGTTCTCATTTTGGTCCCCTTTTGTTTAGTGGCTAAGGAACGCGTGCAAACCCCGTTTGAGGCAGCTCAAACTCCTTGGAACTGACTCTTAGGACTCGAAGGAAGGGTTTTCCACCGTCTCTCCCATCTTCGTGCTTTTTGACACCTCTGGGCCAAAGTTCCAATTTAGGTCTCATTTTGGTCCCTTTTTGCTTAGCGGCTAAGGATCACGTGCAAACCTTGTCTGAGGCTGCTCAAACTCCTTGGAACTGACTCCTAGGACTAAAAGCAAAGGTTTCGCACCGCTCTCTCTCCTCCTGTCGCTTCATGGTGCATTTTGGCCCAAGTTTAGATTTTGGTCCCCTTTTGCTTTACGGGTAAGGAACGTGTGCAAAACTCGTCTCAGGCCGCTCATACTCCTTGGACGTGGCTCCTAGGGCTCAAATGAAGAGATCCTGACCGCTCTCTCTCCTCCTGGCTCTTCTTCGCCACTTTGGGCTCAAGTCTTAATTTGGGTCTCATTTTGCAAAGCAGCCAAGGAACACGTGCAATCCTTGTTTGATGCAGCTCAAACTTCTTGGAACTGACTCCTAGGACTCAAAGCAAAGGTTTCCCACCGCTCTCTCCCCTCCTGGCGCTTCCTGGTACATTTTGTCCCAACTTTGGATTTTGGTCCACTTTTGTTTAGCGGGTAAGGAACGCGTGCAAAACTCGTCTTGGGCCACTGAAACTCCATGGAAGTGACTTCTGGGACTCAAAGGAATAGTTTCACACTGCTCTCTCCCCTCCTGACGCTTCCTGGTGCATTTAGCCTTAAGTTTGGATTTTGGTCCCATTTCTCTTGGCGGGTAAGGAACATGTGCAAACCTTGTCTGACGCAGCTCAAACTCCTTGGATTTGACTCCTAGGACTCGAAGGAAGGGTTTCCCAGCATCTCTCCCATCTTGGCGCTTTCTGACGCCTTTGGGCCCAAGTTCCAATTTGAGTCTCATTTTGGTCCCTTTTGCTTAGTGGCTAAGGAACGTCTGCAAACCTCGTGTGACGCAGCTCAAACTCCTTGGAACTAACTCTTAGGAGTCAAAGCCAAGGTTTCCCACCGCTTTCTCCACTCCTAGCGCTTCTTGGTGCATTTTGGCCTAAGTTTGGATTTTGGTCTCCTTTTGCTTAGCGGGTAAGGAACGCATGTAAAAATCGTCTGACATAGTTCAAGCTCCTTCGAAATGACTCCTATGACTCAAAAGAAGGGTTTCCCACTGTTCTCTCTACTTCTGGCGCCTTTGGGCTCAAGTTCCAATTTGGTTCTCATTTTGGTCCCCTTTTGCGTAGCGGCTAAGGAACACGTGCAAAACTTATCTCAGGTCCCTCAAACTCCTTGGAGGTGACTTCTAGGACTCAAAGAAATTGTTCCAGGCTGCTTTCTCCCCTCCTGGAGTTTCCTGGCGACTTTGGGTCCAAGTTTCAATTTGGGTCTCATTTTGGTCCTTTTTTGCTTAGCGGCTAAGGAATGCATGCAAACCCTGTCTGAGGCAGCTCAAACTCCTTGGAACTGACTCCTAGGATTCAAAGGAAGGGTTTCCTGTTGTCTCTCCGATCTGGGCGCTTGCTAACGCCTTTGGGCCCAAGTTCCAATTTAGGTCTCATTTTGGTCCCCTTTTGCTTAGCAGCTAAGGACCGCGTGCAAACCTCGTCCAGGCAGCTCAAACTCCTTCGCACCGGTCTCTCTCTTCCGGGCTCTTCCTGGTGACTTTGGGCCCAAGTTTCATTTTGGTCCCCTTTTGCTTAGCTGCCAAGGAACACGTGCAAAACTCGTCTTGGCCCCTTGAAACTTCTTGGAAGTGACTCCTGGGACTCAAAGGAAAGGTTTCCTACTGCTCTCTCCCATCTTGGCGCTTCCTGACACCTTTGGGCCCAAGTTTAAATTTGGCTCTTCTCTGGGTCCTCTTTTGCTTAGCGGCTAAGAAACACGTGCAAAACTCATCTTGGCCCCTTGAAACTTCTTGGAATTGACTCTTGGGACTCAAAGGAAGGGTTTCCCACCGTTCTCTCCCCTCCTAGCGCTTCCTGGCGCAATTAGGCCCTAGTTTGGATTTTGGTCCCCTTTTGCTTT